TAAATTCATGGCTAATGCTGATATAAAAAAAGTTAAATGTTAAAAATAAGTAGGGGAGACTTGAAGTTGAAGCCTTTTGGTTTTTCTCCCTCACTTGTAGGGAATTTCACAACAGACAAGGAAAGCTGGGAAATAAAACATGTTGAGACAGGAAAGAGGTACCACAGTGCTTTAGTATGTAGGGTTCTCCAAGATCTTGATCTGATCCTGACTTTAGCATTTGTATAAATCAAAGCCAAATAATAACTCTTCAAAAACTACAAAATTGTTTCCAGTTTTCTAATGTACCCCCCTTGCTCACATTATCCCCCATTATTGTGCTGGTTAATCACATGGCACCCACATTATAATGATAAAGACATTCCAGGCCATTAAGATGCATGTGGGAAATATAATTTACTTGCCTGCAAACTAAATCTTTCAAAGATCAGAGTAGTTTGTGAATTTCAAATAGATTTACCATTCATAGTTAAAATATCCTTTAAAATACAGCAGAAAAAGAAAATTGTTAGTTTATTTCTTTTCTAAGGGTAGAGAAAATGCTTCTCTGATAATCTGCTATCATTGTGTGGATTTTAGAACATTGCTCATCAATGAATGCTTTTCCTAACCCTCACCAAAGTAAAGAATCTGAGCTTCGATTTCATTTGTCAGCCATCAGAGAATAATATTGTGCAGGTCAAGTATTTTACCTAATGGATTAGGCATTTATCCTTCCAGGTAGCAAACAATTAACAAGGTTTTATATATGTTACCTCAATTATTAAGATAATATACAACTCCTAATACACAAAGTGAAGTTAATTTTTCTTTGGAAAATAACCATAGAGAAGGAAAACAATGTTTATATACAGAAGATATCTACTGCACTTCCTTTCAGCCTACTTTCCATTTCTAAAGACTGTGGTTTGGAAAGTTACTGAAGATTCTCACTGAATTTTTCCTTAAAATTGGTGGCTAAGATTAATAAATTTTTGCATTTAGATAGCAGCATTTATTTAGGATATCCTATTTAGGGTATAAAAAAATCTTCCCTGGTCTTATCTACCTTTCTAGATATTAGCTAAAATGAGTAGAAGATGGCATGTGACTCTCAACTTATTCTGGAACTATCCTATGATTCACAAGAAAAGGAACAAAAAATAAGAAAGACACTTTTTGTTCTTGTTGTTTCAATCTGCTCAGCTCTTTTTTTCAAGTAGCAATGCATAATAATTCAAAGATCCTTGCTGTGCACCTGTGGCTCAGGCCTGTAATCCTAGCTACTCAGAAGGTTGAGATCTGAAGATCATGGTTTGAAGCCAGGCCAGGCAGAAAAGTCCCTATGAGACTCCAATTAATCACTCAAACCAGAAGTGGCACTGTGGCTCAAGCACAAAGAGACTCAGGGACAGTGCCCAGCCCCTGAGTTAAAGGCCCACAGCCAAAAAAGAAAGAAAGAAAGAGAGAGAAAGAATGAGTGAAAGAAAGAGAGAGAGAAAGAAAGAAAGAAAGGAAAGAAGGAAGGAAGGGAGAGAGAGAAAGGAAGAAAGAAAGAAAGAAAGAAAGAAAGAAAGAAAGAAAGAAAGAAAGAAAGAAAGAAAGAAAGAAAGAAAGAAAGAAAGAAAGAAAGAAAGAAACAATGATCCATTTTCCTTTGAACAAATGCCTTCTTTTTCACATAAATTTAACATAAATAACCCTCATTATATGTTTAATAGATCAGCAATTCAATCCCTGCTTCAACAATAAAGACCCCCACATTAAAATAATGTATAGGTACATGTATAATGTTTTCATGTGTTGAAGTATATATTCACAAAACTTTTATTAATTTTAGGAGACACTGGAACAATATACATATACATAAGTATTTTGATGTCTACCAGTGAGCTATTGAAATATGCATTTCAAACCCATCTTACCACAATCAATCAACTCTTTCAACATGGAGTAGTGAAAATAAATATCTCAAGCTGTCTATTCAAGTGCTCTTAAATCTCAAAGAGCCTTAGATGGGATTATCATCAAAGAAGGAAACAATATATTAAAATTTTGAAAATTGCAGTACAGAAGTATAACGTTTCCCTTTAGATAACAAAATATATTCATATGTACTCTCTCTCTCTCCTTTTCTACAGACACACACACACATATAAATACACACACACCACAGTCCATTTTAGAGAATATATGATCACCATAGCAAGGCCTACTGGAGGAAGGGATTAGAGCCTATGGTACATAATCACTTATTATTTCCTCTGGGCAGATGAAATAATTCCCAAGCTTGAGGTAAATGTGTAAGTAATGATGGTGTGCAAGACAGAAGATGGGAATCAAAGAAGCAAACAGCAGCTTTCAATGTTTTTACAGCTCACAAACTGATGGAATAATGTTGGTGGATACAGGAAAGTGACCAGTAGCTTGGATAAAAATGACAACATCTTCAATGGAGTTACTAAACTGGGACACCTAGTCTTATTTTAAATTCCCTCTTACAGAACACAAGAGTAACCATGGATTTCTAAGATGGTTTCTATGCTGACACACTTCAAGGCAAGACTCTGAGGATAAATGTCATGTCTGAAGGCAATTATTTTATACAATTCCAAAATCTGAAGAGCTGCTATGAACCATGATAACAATGGTGCCATGAATGAAAGATAGTACCTTTATTTTCCCACCTCTGTCTTGGCCTGACTATGGTTAATAAAGGTATAAGGTTATTTTTTTAAAAATTCTATCAGTGGCTTTTCTTTGTCTTACCTGCCTAAAGTGCATAAGTTGCCCTGTCTCATTTTATTTTAATAAACTCACCAATTTTAATAAACTTCTTTACCTACAAAGCCAAAATTGAATATAAAAAGTTATTTCTCAAATTTTGGACTTCCCAAATATTCTCTTAGGGAAAGGAATCACATAATACCTAGTTGTCTAGAAACCTGGGGATCAACTTTGTAATTCTGTTTTGTACATGCCCTTATAATTAATTTATTACAAAATCTGGCCAATTTTATTTTTACATAAATATCCAAATTCCAGGTGCAGGTCCATTCACCACTCACTCAAACTACCCTGTACTTCCATTTATTCACTGCCATGGTACTCTTTTCGCTCTTGCTAGCTTCAATCTGGTTTCAGACTGCACCCAGAGTAATCTTTTTAATGCACGACATTAAGCATGTCATTGCTGAGAGGTAAAAGTTAATTTTTTCAAGAGAGATCAGATCCTAAGGCTTCTGCAAAGCTGCATGGAAATTGACTAAGACTTTGGTTTAAGGCCTTGAGCTTAAGGCAATCAATTTTAACCAATCATAGGACTAGAGCCTCAGGCCTTTCTCAAGACAAAGAAGAATCTTAGGTTTCCAGAAACAGGAATCTATGACAAGTAGAATTCTTCCACTCACTTGCTGTACCTTATCCTTGTGAGCCCAGTGCCAAGTCATACAATCAGCTGGTATCACTCACAGTCACAACTGCTAGGAAAGGATAAAAACCTATTTCTACCACATAATATTGCTATTGTTTGCCTCACACAGTGCTCTTCTAATCATGCAACTTCAAAAGCCCAAGAGCAAGGTAATGGAGTCTTCCAAACTTCTCAAGTGTGGTGTCTGAAGTATGGGCTGTTCTAGAATACTAAGGAATTTGTTCCACTAAATAACCTGGTGTTATATCTTGGTATATATGTATGTGTGTATGTATGCAAATATACACACACACACACACACACACACACACATATCTATGTATCATATATATGTGTATATATACACACACATATATGTGTCATATATATATGTACACACACACACACATATGTGGTTGAATTCTAACTTTTAGCAAAAAAAAACCTCCGGGATAGCACACAGGCCCTGAGTTCAACTGTCCCTGAGGTTGAACTCAGGGCCTGTGTGCTGTCCCGGAGGTTTTTTTTGCTAAAGGCTAGAATTCAACCACTTAAGGCATACCTCCACTTCCAGCTTTTTAGTAGTTAACTGGAGATAAGTGTCTCACATTGTTTTGAACCAGCTTCTTCACTAGCTAGGATTACAGGCATGAGTTGCTGATGCCCAGGTAATGTTTTCACTGCTAAATGCCATTCCAACAGTTTTAATGTTCTGGCTGGTATGAAAACTACTCAACTTAAAACCTGCCAATGGCATCAACTTTCTCTCAACATGAGCATCCATGTATTTACCATGGTGTTGCGAGGCTCAGCATGACCTGGCGCCGGCCTTGTCTCCTAAGCTCACTTTGCACAACCTGCTCACTCTGTTCTAACTAACTGGACTTCTTTTTTTTTCAGCAATGCAACATCATTCTGCCTCAGGGTCTTTAAAATGTTATTCCTTTAGAGGAGACATTCCCTTCTACTTACCTTCTGATCTAAGATCAGAAGTCATTTCTCTAGAGAAACCTTTCTGGAACAGAATAGCATGGCTGTTCATTACATACTGTTCATTGTTTAGCGATAAAACCCCAAACCAGCTCATCCAGCCCCAAATCAGGGAGACAAAAATGAAAGTGTCTTTTAATATTTCCTTAGGTGCTATTATTCCTAAATTGAGATTGAGTTGTAATCAGAAAGTCTCTCAGCGTCAACCAAGAGTCATAGAAAACACTATTTAAGTCAATCTAAGTGCTTTCAAAACATAAAAACTATAAAAACTGTGTGTGTGTGTGTGTGTGTGTGTGAGAGAGAGAGAGACAGAGAGAGAGAGAGAGAGGGAGAGAGAGAGAAAGAGAGAGAGAGAGAGAGTGTATATGTGTCCTTGGCCTTAAACTCAGAGCCTGAAAGTTGTCACTGAGCTCTACAACTCTATTGCTTGATTCATATCTCTACTTTCAGCTTGGGGTGGTTAATTAGAGATAATAGTTTCATAGATTCTCCTACCTGGGTTGGCTTTAAATCACTATCCTAAGATTTTTAGACTCTGGAGTAGCTAGGATTACAGGCAATAGCCACTGGAACCTGGCTTATTTTTTTCTTGTTGTTGTTGTTTAATGTTAATTCTTGCTCCTCTCTTTAGAAGGTTATAAAAAATGTTACATTATTCCTTACAGACAGGTGCAAAGAATAAATCCTCTATTGCAACCCAGAACTCTTTGCTGATATGAGATTTTGGTACATGTAAGAAGGAAGACGATTCCTACAACAGTTGTCACTCTGAGGGTTTGTTAACTCACACAGGTTGCTCGGAGAATAAAGTTGATGTGAAAGCAAAAAAAAATGTTAAACTCTTTCCCACAACCTCTGATTCTCTTCTCTTACAACAGTTAACATAGGTACAAAAGAGTATATGATCGTTTTAGATAATTAGGGAAAAAAACAAAAGAATTCTCCCTATCTGTATATTCTCCCCATCTGTAAATAATCTATTTATCCTCTACAGTGTTCATTTTAAACAATGCAATATTTCATCACAGATATATATGTCAGTTTTTCATTGGCAAGAATGAAGCCAAAAAAGAAAACATGAAAACTGAGGGTAAGACTGTAGGTCTAAGCAACAAGCACAGGACAGAAGTGGCTTCTGGATGAAAAGAACACATACATTTCTTGCTTGGTCTTTATGTTTTTAGAAAACTATGATAGGCTGAGACATTAAATGAATTTTCCATTTTTAAGGAAGACATTAGGGAGGTTCTCATTTACTAAATGTCTTTGGAAACAGACAAGACAAACAGATGAGAATTATTAGATCAAATTGTGGCTAATGTACAAGATGTTCTACATCTAATAGATAAATGAGACGTGGAAAAATCACCAGGACCAGATGGCAGTTCTTATGTCCTTTCAAATATAACATTTTCTTCTGCAAAATAGAGGCCAATCACAAAAAATGCATCTGAATTTAGTCTAGTGGCAAGTAGCTAGGGAAAGAATAAAGTCAATTTTTCGAGCTTCCATCTTTCACCAATATTACACTTAGAAACAAAGACCCAATAGAAATGTCATCCCCTATCAAAGTCTTCTGTGGCATTCATAACCACAAAATTCAATCTGAAAACAAACCAAAAATATTCCAACATGAAAGGTTGCCTAGTCAAACAGCAATTTAAAGAAGTACTTTGCCAGGCAATTAGATCCAATTCTACATTAAACATATACATGTACAGTAGATTTGTATTTTTCTTCATCTTTTAATATGAGATTGTTCAATTCTAGTTCTCATATTTTCAGCCAGAAGGGATCTAGACAGGTGGTTGAATGAGTCAGCCCATGTATTCTGAGAGAAAGGAATGAGATTTATTTGCTCTTTGCTTATGGGTATATCTTAATGAATCTTCAATCTTGCTCTTACTGTTCCCAATGGTAATGATGCATTTGGAGAGCAAGCAGGTTTACATAGCAGTGAGGATCTGTCAATAGCATCACACCTGCCGCTATTTCTCTTCCTAGTCTTGGAATACAAAAAAAGAAAGGCTTTAGAAAAAAAAAAATAAAAGCATTATACCTGCTAACAAGGATTTCATTTTAGTTCCTAGGTTAGTTTTTCTGCTTTGTGTATGTTTCTTTATCCCTTACAGTTGTTATCCATACTTGAGAAGTTGAGTTTCATGGAGAAACTTATGGTCATAAGCCAATCATCCAAGAAAGATATGGTTTTGGTAAAGAATGATTTGAACATACATGGTTACTCTCAACAATGCCCACTCTTAGTTTTCCTAAACTCAGTTCTTTCCTCTATTAAATTTTATATTGCCTTCTCTATTTGATGAGGGGTAGATATTCTGAATGATGTCTTATCTTTGGGATTCCTATTTGCAATAACACAAAATTTGCAGATACTTCGAAGACAAAGGACGATATAAAGGTTACAGAATGTAGGCAGAGATAGGATACTTCAAGCAGCTCATACTTATGCCTAAGGCCTAGACAAATATTAATTTTGTTTGGTCTGTGAGTAATTTTATGCTTTACTATTGTTTGTGGTGAACGGGAAGAAATAAAGATAAGAACTTGAAGGAGGAGAAAGGAAAGAGTAGAGTGTCCCAGTAGATGGAGGGCTCACACACACAGCAGCAGCAGCTGATATAATGTTTTATTGTATTAGTCTGTGAACTATGTCCCTGGAAGTAGATAATGCAATGACTGTAGAAGGGCATTTCTCAGAATGGTCTCCAATAGTTTCTATGTTAAGAGCAAACAGATGTGTTCTGTACCCAGAAGAGTTGCCTCTGCTTTGACATGTTCAACTGAGGAGGGGGGCTGGAGGGGGTAAATGATGCATACACAGGAAAGAAACAGGGAAGAAATCCAAAGAAAAAATAATCAACCAAATCCCACCCTACCCGGAATACCTTGGTGTAAATCCACCAGTGTAAACTCTTCCCATGAGAGGTTCATCCATTCCAATCACTATCCAGTGATGTTAGGGTGTTAGAACAAGGCATTGTTGACCACCTAAAAGCCAGGGAACGTGATCTTGTTTAAGTAGTAGAAAGAATGAAAACACTAAATGCACCTCCTTCACCTTGTGACTATGGTCAATCCTCTGAAGGTTTAATGATCAGATCAGGTTATACAGCTTTATTTCTACAGATTCCTTTGTTCTTTTGCATTCCCTCAAGTACTGCAAACTCTTCTGCTCTTCTCATTTAGAAGGATACAAAACTACTCATTTTACATTTCCGTAACCACTTTCTTCAGTTACCTTTGTCAGGTTAGAAAGTTGCTACCACCATTGTGCACTTCTGTGCCTGCGCTTGGTTCATGGAGAGTAATGCAAATACCTCACTGCTGAGGTCCAAACATCCATGGCTTTCTCTCTGGCTTGCCTCCTCCCACAACTCTCAATGAGGGCCAGTCTCCATGTACTTGGGTCATCTACCATTCTATCAATATGCAGTATGCATACTGAAGTTGCTATGCTCTCACCGTACCAATCTTTCCTTGCAGAGTTCTCTTCTTTTGCATCAAATAGCCAAGGAAGCCCCTAAACCTCACTTATCTGAAGTCCTGCTCACTTCTTGCAAACATTCAGTGCTCCTGGCATTTGGATTACCCATATCTGGCCAGAGGCAATTTCCCATTTTCAATGTATTATCTTTTGTCATTGGATATGACTCTATTGATAGAATTCAAATTTTTTTGAGGGATAAGGTCCCTATATTATTCTTTGCAGGATATATTCAAAGTTTTCCATCAAATATACAGACTGAACAGTAAGTGAAGAGTCAGGTAATTTACAAGCAAAAGTAAGTTTATATGAAAGTTCATTACATAAAAGCTAAATGTAATAGGACTTGAGGGATGTTCTATCATTATAAAGGGAGTATCTTTTTAGCTAGGATAATTTGTGTAACACATGGAATAAAAATATAAGTTTAATAAATGTCTTCCTAAGGTGAACATTTAGAGTTTTGAAAAAAAAAAAGACAGGTAGAGAGGCATGGGAGGTTCCAGTGTTTATACAAGGTGCTATCAAATGAACAGTCTCCTGAGGATAATAGCAGGAAAGTGTGGGGATCACTGTAGACTGTGGGTCTGGCCTACTTTTAGATTTGGGTGTCATACCTTGCTGGCCTTGTCACCTTGTAGAAAAGTTTTATATCAGATAAGTTACAGGAGTAGTAATGCTTACCTTAAGCCATTATTGGAAAATATTACATAGGTTAAGTGTTTTGCACAAGACGACATAGCATGGAAGCTATCATTATTGAATGGCTAGTTTTGTTACTTTTCCTAAGAAGTAATTATTCTAATCTGAATAAATCTTGAGTATATCTTCCTTTCACTAGTATAATGACTTGAAGCATATGATTTTATCTTACCTGTGATTGGTATGACATAAACACTTTTAAATAAAGCTAGTCCACTACTTCTTCATGGACAAGATACAATACAAAACTCTAATTGCATAAAAAACAGTGCAGTAGTCTGAGCAGTCAAGAGATATAAAGACAAATTAGATGAGAAAAATCCATGAAACTGTTAAAAGTATAATTTTAAAGGAAAAGAAGAGTAACATAATGTGCCTGGTTCACCAATCTTGAGAGGAATAAAGGTGGAATTGTGCTGCTTCTGTCGTAAGAGCTATTAATTTCCTTTGTCTCTGGTTCAGCCTCAAAATTTCATATCAGAAAGCACTTAGTACCTGCACTACGCTCAGAGCTATGGGCATAAAAGAAATGAGAAACATGGTCTTCCTTCTTAGTACTTACAATCTATTAAAGACACCTCTCTGAATAAAGAAAGTGCTTACTTTTCAATAAAGTTCCCTTTATATTCATAATGCCTTGAAAGAAAGCTTCTTTTTCACAAAATAGGGGACAGAGCATGGATCCATAAATTTATTTTACATTTTTTAATGAAAAGGAAACTTAATTACACTTTAAAGAAAAGAATTACAAACACATGACTTCAGTAATTAGGGCTCAAATACTATGAACCATTTAGATATAATGCTGCCTTACATTTTTCAATGACAGTTAATTGCTTTCTCATTTACATAATTTTTATATCAATTTTTACATTTAATCATCATGACATTCTTGTGAAACAAGCATTTTTTACCCCCATTTTATGGATGGGCAGGCTGCTGCTTAGAGATAAAGTTGTAATAATTGCCAATAAGTCACATACAGAACCAATAGTTAAGCATAAGAGCCAGCCTTGAAAATCTGGTCTGGTTCTCATATCTAATCCCAGGGGTCAGAGTTAGTCTATGGCTTCATTATATACTTCTTCATAATTCACATCTTGCCACTCAAAATAAAAATGAGGTTTGACCTCTCAGTAGCAGATTACCTAAATAATTTGTAGCTGTAACAGTTCAAACATTCTACAAGTACTTCAAGAAAACAGAGTATAAAATACATTTTTAAATTTAGTTTTGAAGAATTTTTAGCATTTTATAGCATAATAATATTATACCAATGGAATAAGTTGCATTTGCTTTTTTCTTGTCCAAGTGTGAAAGTTGTTTCCATTATTGTCTAATATTCATATTATTATGCAGTAGTTGCTATTGCTCCCAGAAATTCAGAATATGACAATACAGAGGCCTTTCCCCTGTCTGTTAGGTACGAGTAATACCTAGTATTAGGTTTTGCCTTACTTGATTCACAGACATTTTAGAAATGAAGAGGGAGAAATGATTCCTTAAGGAAAGTCTCTGGCAATATTGCGTTCAAGTTTCT